TCATTTTCTCTGTCGAGTTTTGTTCTGTCTTTTCGTATGAATGCATTACAATTCAGAATTATTTTCTTAAGATTTTTATTTCCTATGCTCTCTTTTTATCTCTCAGTCTTTTTCTTTGTAATTTTTTCCCTATGCTTTATTGATTGTAATTGTGTTATTTCTTTCGTGAGTGGACATTCAAACCGAGAAAGAATGGTTCAAAAAAGCTCATAATTATTTAATTAGTCAACATAATTAAATGACCATTAATGAGTTGGGGATTTAATGGAGATAAAGTATTGTGGATGCTCCTAGACGCTGAACAGGTAAAAGCAGTATAAAAATTTACATAAATTCGTTGTTTTCGTCGCACGATTACATTCACAATAAAAATGGAAAGGAAAGACATGAAATACCTGTGGTCGGAATATATATAGCGATATTTTAACAAATATCCAATCCAATTTTTTTGTTGTTTTAAAAGTGATGATTTTCAAATCCAAAGCCCCAGAGCCACTCAAGGTAGAGAATTACTGTGTGGTGTTTTATGAGAGTAAGAAAAGGCAACAAAGGCAGTACATGAGTTGTTTTTTTCTAATAAATTTATTTCGAGCAAGGCAATAACGCAATTATGACGCAAGAGGATCCTGTGAGACAAAGGCAATGAGTAGACATAAGAAGGAACCGTTAACCCAATCCTAAAAAAAGATGGTTAAAAAACGGGGAGGAGTGTGAACCTGTCTAGTCTCATATAGGAAATATCAAACTTAAAGCTAATCTTGAAGAGCTCAAGATTTTAGTGATTGGGGAAAGCAGCAGGTTTTGAGAAGCTGTCCGAGTGGGACTTATGTCTTACTCACTAAAAGGAATGGCGATAACTCATCCTCGTGTAAGTGACATGGCGGGCGCTAGTTAAAAGGCCAGTGCTGGTGGGATCATAGGTGAACGTTGTCAGAACACATCCATCGTAATAGCAATATAATAAGCACAGGCTTCTTATTTTTCGTCATTGGAAACCACAATTTCGTGGAAAATAATTAAACAACCAAAAGTTTATCAATAAAGGGAGATAAGTGAGAATTGGGAAGCGCTTGCCTTGAGATGGCAGCGATACTACATTTTATACCAGAATTGAGAAACTCTTGCCTTCAGATGGCAGCAGTACTAAATTTGAAGACTGAATTGCGAAGCTCTTATCTTGAGATGCCTTGAGATGTCAGCAATACTACATTTTAAGAATGAAATGGGAAGCTCTGGCCTTGAGATGGCAGCATTACTATATTTTATGCCTTAATTGGGAAGCCCTTGCCGTGAGATGGCACCATTATTACATTTTATGCATGAATAGGGAAGCTCTTGCCTTGAGATGGCAGCATTACTACATTTTAAGATTGAATTGGGAAGCTCCTGTCTTCAGATGGCAGCAATACTAAATTTGAAGACTGAAATGGAAAGCTCTTGATTTGAGAGTGCAGCAATACTATATTTCATGCCTGAATTGGGAAGCTCTTGCCTTGAGATGGCAGCAATACTATATTTTATGCCTTAGTTATTAAGCTCTTGCCTTGAGATGGCAGTATTACTACATTTTAAGATTGCATTGGGAAGCTATTGCCTTGCGAGTGCAGCAATACTATATTTTATGCCTGAATATGGAACGATTTGCCTATCCTGAAAAATATGCCGTGATAAGCAGATAACACTGTTATGATTTTAGAAGAGAATGGACTATGCTATTAATTTGACAAAATAAATTATCATACAATATTATCGTATTGTATGATAATGTATAATATCTTAAACTATTATCATATATACTATTATATATATATATGTGTGTGTGCGTGTGTGTGTGTGTGTCTGTGTGTGTGTCTGTGTGCCTGTGTGTATTACGAAATAACGATATATAATTTTGTATAATTTTATATATAAACAAACACTATTTAAAAATATGACTTACAATAAATCAACGTTCTTGATAGATTGTTTATTGTGACAGTGTGAGATAGGGAAAAAGATGATGGAGAGAAAAAAAGAAAAAAGAAAGGAATACAGATGAATTTGGGTAGATTGAAACAAGAAGATTCTTTCAAAAATATTATTTCAAAATGGTTTTGAAACTACCAGCGTCTCTCGTTTGCTGCGCATATGGAGAAGTGGCAACATCAACAAAGACCAGTCCGAATAAATCAACGAGTCAAAATAAATTGCCCAGTTTGTCATATTTTCCTATATATTATTATATAGGTAATGTATTATATGACAAAATATTATCATAACTTACCAATCAAACTATATATAAAATTCTGTGATATCCGTTAGTCAGTCCACCAATCAGACCCTCTTAAATGGCTATTCATTGTCCGATCGAAACCAAATTTTGAGGAGAACTGCAAACCAGCATAGGGCCAAAAAGTACTGTTGCTTTTACTAGGGTGCGTAGCTTAGTATGATAATTTTCATTAAGTTTTTGGATAAATTAAAAAAAATATTATTTAACATACAAAATGGTCCCACTGTTTTATATCAATTTAATGATTAAAAAATACTTATTTAATAAAAGTGCAATATTGTTTTAGCATATCTTTTCTTTAAGATCACACACACACACACACACACACACACACACACACACATATATATATATATATGCATGCATTTCATTCTGGTAAAATATAATGAACAGTAGTAGCACTGTAAATATAAACACAGTAGGTATTACAGTTTTTTGTGTATATATGTTATGTAACTAGTGAGTTAGTCAAAATAACTTAATTCCCTTTATAGTCAACCAATAGAAGATTAACCAATCAGAAGCCGCAGAACATTGTATCCGTCGTGTATAAAGGCGGCCATCTTTGTTTACCCTACCGGAATGACCAAAGCCAACAACAAACACGACAGACGGAAGAACTACGCTCTGCTACTTTGCTGCGATATCCACTGCGAACCTGAAATACACTTTCCTACTGTCTCCGAAATATTCACTGCCAACCTCTGGATTCTATACTCGAAGACGACCGTCATGAATTTGTAACAGTAGGGAGAGTTTCAAATTTCTTTAAGAATACAAAATACTGTGTTAATTTCAACACTCACAAGCCTTGTTACAAAATATTGTAATATATAAAATTCTGTAACTTTCATAAGTTCGTCCGTTCTTCATACCCTCTAAAATCGCCATATATTGTCTGATCGGAACCAAATTTTGGAAAGAAGTGCAAACAGGTAAGGGGGTGCAAACAGGTAAGGGGGTGCAAACTACTAACTGAACTTTGCATCCACCTACCTTTTTACAATTATTAATTATAATCCTTAATAAGGTTGAAATCCTTAAAGTAGGATTTTTCTCAATGTATATAACTAACACCTGTATCCAGAATATATATATATATATATATATATATATATATATATATATATATATATATATATATATATATATAATAAAAGGCTTAAACACTAATATTCCATGGAATATTAGTGTTTAAGCCTTTTTATTTTATCCTTACTCTGTCCTGGACATTGAGATCTACCTGTATACTATCCACTTGGAATTATTTTATATATATATATATATATATATATATATATATATATATATATATATATATATATATATATATATATATGTGTGTGTGTGTGTGTGTATATATATATTTATATAGTTTAGATATATGATTGCATATGTATGTATATATTAACCACTAATATTATCTATCTATCTATATATATATATATATATATATATATATATATATATTTATATATATATATATATATATATATACATACATATATTATCATATATACTATTATATATATATATATATAATAGTATATACTATTATATATATATATATATATATATATAATAGTATATATGATTATAATTTATCATATAATATATTATCATACAATATGATAATTAATAGCATAGTTCCTTCTCTTCTAAAATCATAAGCGTGTTATCTGTTATCGAATAACATAAAAAATGTACTTTAAAACTAAACTTAGAAATATTGACAGGTACATGTCTACTTGTTGCAAAAAAATCTAGCATATAAAAATCCGTTAGTCGGTCCTTCTTTCACACACTCTAAAATCGACATATCTTGACCAATCGAAACTAAATTAAAAAAAAAAATACTGTTGACCATGAAGTCCTGTAAAATTAAATTAATTTCTAGATTTCATTATACCGTGAAATAGGGTTTTGTCTAAGTACTTTTTCAAACAAAATCAGCTTTTCATTGATTGGTATGCGAAATTGAACGAAACCTAGAGTTTGTATATCTCGATAAAAAAATGTTAGCGATAACTTCACAAATACGAAATACTGAACGTAGTTCAACACGGGTCAGCGTGTCGCAAAGAATTCTACTTTAAACAAACTTCTGTTGAATTCATCTTGGATTATGAGCAAAATTGTCAGTGATCTTTCTGTTAAAAATCTGACTTTCATCAAAACAACTACTAAATAATATGTGGACTTTATTCGTACTACATGACTTTAATCTTCTAATTTACAATGTATCCAGTCTAGAAATATCAGAACATTTTATTGTGATAAGAGATTAAAGCAATTTGGATTTTGAGTAATAGAAGCTTTAAGGCGAATATCTACTTACAAATACAAGCATGAATGATGCTAAGTTAACCGTGTTTCCCTAAAGTGCTGTAGGAGACAAATGTAATGTATAATACGTGTAATTCAATAAATAAAGATTTTTGTACTGAATAAATCTTAGAAAATAAGCAATGCTTCTTACGAATATCCACTGCTGTTACATATATATATATATATATATATATATATATATATATATATATATATATATATATATATACATCGTTTCGCGTCATGCAAGGCGATAAAGCCACGAAGATGTAAGAGACTACTACCTAAGATAGAATATGAAAAAAAAACATTGTTAAGGAGGGAAAATATTATAAAGAGAAAAATTAAGAAGACAGAAGATAACGATTGATATTGCATTTAATTTTTTAAAGATCAGGGTCATGTTGAAACACCGTTTCCAATACGATCACCGAAGTTAAGCAACGTCGAGCCTGGTCAGTACCTAGATAAGCGACCACTTGGGAATACAGGGCGCTGCAAGTTTGGATGTGTGGGTGGTGTAATAGATAATGGCTCGGGCTTTTTATTCAGAAAGCCAAGTACTAATTCCAGATGGGTTCGTTATATTCACTTCAGTGCAAGTACCCTTAGGAAAGGTATGAATTCACCTCTTCTCCACCCCTATGCATAGATTAATTAGTAAGAATTGCATCACTAAATCATTACTATCTCAAAAAATAATTACAATCTAAAAATATTTTCTGGCTTTAAATAAACTTCAAAGGCCGTAGAAAACGGATCAGTCAATCTAATGGAAAGCAAAATTCGGAAGATAATTCCACGATCGATAAGAATAATTTAGAATATAACTTACGACTAATCAAGGCCATTTAAACTGTAAAATGACGAGGCCTTAACAATTTAGTACTGCGCTGGAATTCAAAACATCAGGTGCCAAATTGGTAACAAAATTAAGTGTCAAAATTTAGTTGCCGAATTTTAAGTTTATCTGAACAATTACCATAAAAATATTTATAAAAACACTGAGTATCTATCTATCTATCTATCTATGTCTCTCTCTCTCTCTCTCTCTCTCATATATATATATATATATATATATATATATATATATATATATATATATATATATATATAGATAGATAGATAGATAGATAGATAGAACTAGTGAGTGAAACAACCTACCTAGGTTTCAGCTAAACGGATCGTCAGGGAAATTCGGCTGACGATCCGTTTAGGTGAAACCTAGATAGGTTTGTTTAGCTCACTAGGTTTAACTAGGTCTGCTCTACGGTTGTATTGAGCTCTTTTATTAGTTAGTTGTTTTCTCGTATCGGGGTTTTTTTTTTGGGCTTCACACATGTATCTGTGCGATTTTTTTCGACAGACTTTCATGTTCGTAGCTCTTTCTTTCTTTAAAACCTTTTTTTCAAAAATCTTCGTGATTGATTTGATTATTGGCAAATCAAAAATTCTAGGGTTTTTCGAAACGACTATAGTTATCTATCTATCTATCTATCTATCTATCTATCTATATATATATATATATATATATATATATATATATATTTGCATCTATGTATGTCTGTAGGTGTAACGATGCTAAAGAATATTTTGGAAGTTCTATAAATTTGAAATGCATAATTAAATGATGCAATATAATTCCGTTAACATGAAAACTTGCAACAATCGCACATACCTATATATATATGTATATACGAAAATCGACAGACATACACACTGTCAAGTGACACAAAAATGATCAAATTAACAAAGATGAAGGGGCGTCAGATATCTTTGCGTCTTTACGATCTGCTTCAATTATTTTTTTATCTTGTTTATATTACGATAAAGTAGAAATTATTCATTTTCAGTCACGCAAGCACAATTTTACTATATATATATATATATATATATATATATATATATATATATATAAATGGACTCTTCCGTCGTTTTCGTTTGATTCCAAAATGTGGGCAAAACTTACATTCATACACACACATATATATATATATATATATATATATATATATATATATATATATATAAAGAAAAAACGGAACGGACAATTTTAACGTAGCATTATAATAATTTGTTTCATCAGAGCTCTTTTAAAGGACGCTGGATCATCAGATAGCACTCCAAAGAGAGTTTTGGATGTGCTATCTGATGATCCGACGTCCTTTAAAAGGGCTCTGGTGAAATAAATTATTATAATGGAACCATAAAGTAATCTGTTTTTCTTTTAAATATTAGCTCGGGATTTACATTGAGCTCTCAGGATTTCATCCTCTTTGGTAATCCCCATCCGGATTACCAAGTTTTTCATAACTTAACTATATATATATATATATATATATATATATATATATATATATATTGTGACACCATTTAGGGCTGCAATGAAAAGGAAGAAAAGAAGGGAAAGAAAGGAGAGGCGAGAGTTGAAACTGAGATGATAAAGGAAAGCCATCACAAAAGGGGCATTTAGCGATGTTATTTTGATAATGAAAAATGGTGAAAATTTTTATGGCCATTTGACAAACTCCAGATACAGAGTTTTGAATAGATAAAGAATTAACTGTGTCGTAGTGGCGAACTTATATTATCGGGAAAAGATTTTCGTGACCAAGAAATAGGAATGCCCTGACCACACACGAGTTGAAAAAAGTCTTTGTCGATGGAAAGATATCGTTAGACAAGGTGTCTGTTTTGTGTTGAAATTTGACTATGAGCGAAACAATATTATCAGAACAATGGCGAAGTCGTTCATCGTATCAGTGGTTGGCGCCGAGAAGTGAATGCGTCTGTTTGGCCAGCAAATTGGTTCTGGTGAAAATCTGATTGACGAAGTCCAGATGAAAGTGACTTTGGGATAAGAATTGAGATTATCACACTACGGGTCGTATTGTTCTGTTGGCAGCCAGAGAAGAAGAGAGAAAAGAAAAGAAAGAAAGGAAATAGAAAAAAGAAAAAGAGGAGTTTTTTTTTTTCTTTGAGCAAGATATTTTTAAAAAAAAACAAGGCTAGTCTGGTCACACCCACGCTGTTGATCGCCCATTGGATGAAGGTTAACGAGAACCAGGCGGAGGTGTTCAAGTGATGTAGGGGGAGAGGCCTGCTACCACTCATTAAGAGGATAGGTATGAGATATTACTGCGAGGGAGTAGGGAAACCGTTGACGCCTTTTGATGGTATGGTAAGAGACTCATATGAGAACAAAAGAAGTTGGGGGTAAGAGAAGACTTCCAAAAATGGAAATAATAATTTTTTCCTGACCGAAAACAAAAGAAGGGGATTGTGGATTTGGAATTATCAAGGAACCTCAAACCCCGACAAAGCCCACCCCGGTTTTGGTCGGCGTCCATATAAGCAAAATCGCATCGAGCGAAAATCAGTTCAGTTCAGTTGAGTTTCCAGTTAAGTTGAGAGCTCTGAAGACCCACCACGCAGATAGCTGACTGAAAGATTCACGCAATTCCGAACTCATCTTCAATCCAAGAACAATTTAATTTTGAAGAGCGACTTAGACTCATACCACCAAAACAAGTTTTACGAATTTCGCCTGAAGACACACCAAGAACCAGCTTCTTAAAGAACAGAAAACTTAAGATGTTAAGACTCGCCTAACAAAAGCAACGTGTCACGAATCCATATAGCGGGTCGGGAGTTAGACGCAGTCCTATGTATCCAACAACCAGATATAAAGTATTGTTATCCTTTTTTTGATAGCTTTGAACTTTTCGAGTTATTATTTTATTTTTTTTTAAGTCTACTTGTGCGATACCACCCTTATTCGAACTCGACTTGCATAAACGGCCCCTTCGACTGATTGATTTCGTCTGACTAAGATCAATTCACAACGTGGGTAGTCAGACTGGGGATCAAAGTAGTTACTTCGGTAACCAGACGTTGGAGGTGAGTTGGGAACGACGAGGCTGATATCGAATCTAACCAGATTACCATCCGAATCACCAAAAGGTTAGAAAGTCACATTTGGGTGCCGCGACCAATATCAAGCCAGTCGGTCGTCACCGGACGGAATAGCACGACTGACGCAGACAGGCGGACGTCACGTTTGGAGCGGCGACATCCGAACGAAGAAGCGAGGTGCGATCAACGGCTGAGACGTCACAATATATTGATAATAATAATGGTAAATATCCACATACATATGCAAAATATATCAATGTATATACATACATACATACATACACATACATGTATATTTGTATAAAAAAAAAATCCAAGAGGATAGAATCCAAATAGAACTCAATGTCCAGGACAGAGTAAGGATATAATGAAAAGTCTTAAACACTAATATTCCATGGTCATAATTTATTCCATTGGAATCGTATAAATTTACGATTCCAAAGGAATAAATTATGACCATGGAATATTAGTGTTTAAGCCTTATTATTTGGGTTTATTTAACAATTAAATTTTTTACGCTTGAAGTGAAAAACGAAGGTTATGTACTGAATAATTTTTAAATGTTATCATGTAAACACACATGCAAATGTCAAGGGAGGTAACTGCGAAAGCATTCTGAAATTGAATATGGTCAGTTAAGTGCTGTAATACACGCTTAGGCGATCAGGACTCTTTTGACACATCACTGGCTAGGCTGAAGATTTTTGCATAGTTCATTGCCATTTCTTTCTGCGGCAGACTGGTTGCCAACCAAGACTAAAGAACCCAGGTTGTTCTATTATTCAACCCATAAATGGGCGAAGAAGATTCGTATCCATAGCTTTTTCATTGGAAGGGAATATAAGGGCACGGAAGTGAATATATCGAATTTGACTGGAATTCGAACCCAGCTCTCCGACTTCTCATTCCATGGCGATAGCTATTACAAATAGAAGAAAAAAGGAAAACTGGATTTAAATTTAACGGACTGCGCAGGCGTTTAAAATATCTTCGTTGTTAGAAAACAGTTCTTTCTTTCATCTTGTTGTTGTTGTTCTTCATCATTATCGTCACCATCAGCAGCAGCAGCTGCAGACTTCTCATGACCAGATGTGATCACAAGGTCTTTTCGCAGCTGATCATAGCACCAATTTCCTCCACATGCCGGGGTTGAAATCTAGAAAAAATATTCTTTTACAATTAATGCGTCTTGGTCGAGAAGAGCTAATGGCGCTTATACCTTTGTCCCATCACAATTTGAGTATTCCCCTTATTCACTGTCATGTTCCTTTTGATTTCATTAGGTAAATTCTTCTCCCTGTCCTTTGAATTCATTCTAAGGAGGCCTCTGTTCAGCAATGATCTGTCATAACCGTACCGATTGCCTTCCATAACTATGTATAGTCTACCTCAAAGCGGTAGAATGTTGTTGATCCGACAAAAAGGCACATCCGCCATTTAACAGCTTTTGTCTTTAATCCTGTTAGGTGTCTTGCTACTGGCTTCTATGTACCGTGCCCAATCAGGTTGTAGTCGATCATAGCTCTCCACAATTTGCTGTCATTTGCAGGTCTTGTCCTGTTTTCTCTTCTAAATATTCCTTGGCCA